AAGTACTTGTTCAAATTAAGTTTCTAAATATATATTTTGTGCTTCAAATCTGGAATGGATGCCTACCATGGGCATGTCCGCCGACTTGCAAAAGTTGGGATGATTTCAAGAATGTAAAAAGGACACGATGTTCAAGTTGGGTGGGTTAGAAGGCTCCATTTAAGACCATGTTGTTCTCAACATCCGTCAAATGACCCTAATTTTTTTTATTTACTTGTATGACCATCTCAAGGCACCATGCCAAGTTGTTTTGGTTTTCTTCAATGTTTGCATCTTCTGGAGTTTTCTTGGTCAAAAAGAGCGATAAATGGTCGAACCCGTCGTAACTTACATATGGTGTCGACATCACTCAAATCTGGCATGGATGCCTAACATCGGCATGCAAAAGTTGGAGTAATTTCAAGGATGTCCATAAAAACACCATGTTCAACGAAGAGTGTTTGGGTAAGGTCAGAAGGGTCTGTCTGTGAGCAGGTTTTTCAACATCCTTGAAATTACCCCAATTTTTCCCATGGCATTTTATGGCAAATTGAAGGCACCATGCCAAGTTGATTTGGTTTTCGATAAAATTTGCATTTCTGGAGTTTTCTCAGTAAAAATAGGCCGATAAATGGTCAGATGTGTCACAACTTACATACAATATCAGAAATTCTTGTTGTGAAGTTGGAATCATGTCTGACACCATGTGCAGTTGCAACGCATTCGAACATTTATCGGGCTTTTTTGACCGTGAAAAGTCCAGAAAATGCAAAAAAGATTCGAAAACCAAAATAGCTTTGGCATTGTGCCTCGAATTGGCTGTACTGGGCCATGAAAAAAATTAGTGCCATTTCAAGGATGTCAAAAATCAACTTGCTCTCAACGGAGCCTTCTGGGCTTCTGGCCAAACTGAACACCCTTTGTTGGACATGATCTATATATGGACATCCTTCAAATGACATCAGGTTTTGCAAATGGGACGGCATGCCCATGGTAGGCATCCATGTCATGTTTGAACGATTTTTGACACCGTATGCAAGTTTTGACACGTCCGGTCATGTATCGGTCTTTTTTTTATCGAGAAATCTTCAGAAAATGCAAAATTTGTCAGAAACCAAAAAAAAAAAAACTTGACATGTTGCCTTGAATTGGTCATACAAGGCCATGGAAAAAAAATTAAGGTCATTTCAAGGATGTTAGAAAACAACATGCTCTCAGGCGAAGCCTTCTGGCCGAACATCCTCTGTTGAACATGATATCTTTTCGGACATTCGTGAAATGACCTCAACTTATGGCAGGTGGGTATGCACATGGTATAAATCCATGTCAGGTTTGACGGAAAAAATATTTAAAATCATAACTTAAACAGGTACTTAAAACTGTTATTTTATTTTATTTCTATGTTTCCACGCGCGACAGTGAACCGGCCCAGACGGCGGCCTCCTGTGAATAAAGTATTCATTTGTGAACTTTTATTTTTCAAATTTATTTGTTTTCAAATCGATGAACTTTTTTCAATTTTGCTACCTTTTTTAGAATCGATGAACGTTTTTCCTCCTTAGAGCTGGGGGTGTTCGTTTGTTCCCTGGCCGGTCCATAAAATTCAAGGTCCCTGTGTCAAAATCTAAGATGGCCCTGTCTTGTAAGATGGCCAGTGGTATTCATATCAATTGTAACCAATATGTGGTTAGCGATTATGTAGATAAAAATGCTAGAACTGAAGATAGAACAGTAGTTTGGTTGGGCTCTGGTCCCATGGAAATTGTGGACCTGTGTAAGCTGGATTGTAATACAAGTCTTACTCGCCAAAGAAAAATGTCTGACTGGATTAAGTTGTCATCTATGGCAGGATGCGTGCAAAAAAGAAAGTATTTTGACGTGTTCTTTTTAATTGCCTTCATATAGATTTTTTTGGCATTTTGATGAAACGTCTAGAAAAAGCAAAGGTGTTTCCCCACTTGCCTCAAGTGAATGGAGGCGTTTTGGCAGTTTAGAAAGTATCTCCACAAACGGCACGAAGTCTACAGTTGATAATTTATATACTTATAGAAAGTTGAAGTCATAAATGCTATTTCCCTTCCTCTAGCCATAAAACCTTCACTGTCTAGCTGGTCGCCTTGAGTTTTTTACAAGCTTTATTTTTCCAGATGTTGAGCGATCGAGTCCTCATAAGTGCGAATAAAACGCACAACTTTTCCTTGAGAGGAACCGGCCTAGTGTGTTATTATATATCTTGTGCTATTTCTATCACCAAAGGACAGCATGGTGGATTGGCATGCTGTGTGGCTTGGAGGACAAGGTGATGAGTTTGATTCCTCAACTAGCTCCTTATTTCAGCTCTCGGTAGACAATGTACTTTCAAAAAAGACTATCATGCCCTTTATTACGAAGGGGTATATGATAATCACAGCCATTGATGTGTTAAAGGGGGGTGTACGGAAGCGGATTTATTGCAAAACACCATGCAGTTTACTTGATAGGCTTCCATGTTGTATCATCCAAGCATTGACCTCATCATTTTATTGGATATGTTCATGATTTTGTATAGCAGGCTTAATTATGCAGTCACCCTTTGTTAGCGCACCCTCTTAATTAGTTTATGTGCCCCCCCCCCCATGTTATAGCCATGTGTACACGCCACACCCTTATTTGACTTTGTACTACATCTATTATTTATTTTTTTGTACACCTGCTGCACGTCAATGCTCAACGACCTCATTATAAGTGTGTACACTAAGGCCTCCTTTGGTTTGGAGGAATTTTGTAGGATTTTCATAGGATAGGATTTTTATAGGAAAATTTCCTTCAGAGCTCTTTGGTTTGTAGGAATGAAATCCTATTCCTATGAAGGAATTCTTCCTATCCTCCACATTTCATAAGAAAATAAACATTAGTCTAGAATCAATGGAAAAAATCCTATGGTGTGAATCAAAGGACATCTCCTTTTCTATTCCTATGCAGAGGATTTGAGATGCATGTCATCTCATTTCTTATGACTTTTCTATTCCTATGATTTTTCAATCCTATGAACCAAAGAAGGCCTAAGGGTTTGCTGCCGTTGTGGTTCATGGAGTAAAGGAATCGAAACGTACCCTTTTGTGCTTCTGATTCAGGTACGCTCTGATCTGCTTTGTGCACTTGGTCAGCTAGTTAGCGATCTGCATGGTTCAACTCAAATGGAACTGGCACCCGATTATGCTATCTATTACATGCTATAAATGTTTCCTAGCTAAGCTATTTGTTTCTCAAGATCGAGTTTTGTCCTGTTCTGAAAATCCCTAGGCGCCGTCGACTGGGTTCATCGTTTCCGCTGGTTCCCCTCTCCTCCCGCAGCTTATTCGGCTCCGGAGGTGAGGAAAACTACGGATCAGCGCTCGGAGTCCAGTTAGCTTTTCATCTATGTCTGATTTTTGGGTCCTTAACGGCAAAGTCTCAACTGTGGAGGTGGAGTCATATACAGAATAAAAGTCACATGGTTCTATCCTCCCTCTGGTCTGGTGTGGCTCTCGTGCGGATGTGACCTACGCTGGACAACAATGGTGTTTTGGTCCTACGGATCGACAACTCCGTTCTTGCCGATATGTTTATTTTACTTTATTTTATTTTTGCTTCCGACTTTCTTTCCCAGTAGTACAACGACAAAGAAGCATTTCGGCAACATCTCTTGCAAGGGGTGTGCTGCCAGCCGTAGTGTGTACAGTGATCTTAGGTACTCATTTGTTGGGGGCTGCGGCTCATACGAGTTGTTCTTTCAAACCTGTGAGGTTAGTACAACTTGTGCATGTTTGGTCTTCTGCAGTTTCTTCACTAGGTGTATAGAGAAAAGTAGAGATGCAAGGGAGGATGGATCCAGAGTCAATGAGTACAGAGGACTTCGATGTAACACTAGTGGTTGGAGTCCGTTATTGCGGGCCGCTTGAGAGAAAACTATGCGCACCTCACCATCATGTCAATTTTTTTAAAAAAATATGCTTGCATCATGTGGACATCACAACCATCTTAAAAAGGAAAAAAGAAAAAGGCTAGATAAACTTTTCTCGAAAGTCTTCCTACTATTTAAAAAACTCTAAAAAATAATTTCTCACCGTGTCCAACCAGCATGCGCCACATGGCCTAGCTGGTTGACCACCATTCTAGCGCCTCTTAATGGGTTTAATTATCTTTTTATCTTGGCCTATTATTGCTTTGTTTTTGTTTGATCTTTTGTAATGTGTCCAGTAGAATACTTTTTGACCAATCCAGGAAAGTTTCATACTTCATTGACAACCATATTTGAAAATACAGTAGAATACGCTTTCAGCCCATTTTTTGTCAAATTTTGACCAAAAAAATTAAAGTGTCCACAGAAAATTGAAAGAATTCTGTAAAATCAACGCTAGCATGGTGACCAATCTAAGAAAGCTTCACACTTTTTGGCAAACAGATTTTGAAAAAATAGTAGAAATACCCTTTCAACCCCTTTTTGTGACGCGGCAGTTGACTAGGTGGTCAACTCAGTCAAAACGAGTCGGACTGACAAGAAACCGGTTTGAGGGGTGGTAGGGCTGAAGTTTTGCTGGTTTCTAGAGTACAGAGTTATAGTAAGACGGTTTTAAAGTTTGGAGTTGTTTCTTAGACATTCATGACAATTTGAGGTTAAAACATGGACTTCTCTCTTTACTAAAAAAAAGGTAGCTGTGTTTCTATGTTAACAAAACTAGCTGTTTCGGTAGGTACATTGTATATACATCCATTTCAGTTTTTTCAAAATCAAACTTTGAAAGGTTTGACAAAATCTAGAAAAAATTGTCAACATTTACAATACCAAAGCAATACCATTAGACTCATATTGAGTACGACATGATATATATTCGGTATTATAGAAAATTTGAAGTAAGTGTACATCTATCATGTTGTCTAGGACATTGAACTAGACTTGGCTGCAAGGAATTAATAGACGTAAAAAGAGGAAGGCAATCCACCATATAGATATATGTCTTCTCTAACTCATACTAATATAATCGCAGGTCAAATATCATCATATGGACTTGACAAGTAGCACCGCCATGTGGTGTGCCATTGTGGTCCTTCTCGTCATGTTATTAGCCACCCAAAAGATCTCAAGAGCTAGAAGAATGAGTTGCATTGATCCACAGTGTACAAGCCAACAACTTCCACCCGTGGTGAATGGAGTTGCTCTCCTGAGACTATTACCTACCCTCCTGAAGGAAGGCCTGCCTTCTATGGCTAATGATCTGTATGTCAAGTATGGCAGTGTCTTCACAGTAAGTTCATTTGGACTCAAGGTAACACTATTGATCGGGCCAGAGGTGACGGTGCATTTCTTTCAAGGTCTGGAGTCAGATATTAGCCACGGCAATCTGCTCGAGTTCACGGTGCCCATGTTTGGCAAAGCGGTTGGTTATGGCAGAGATAAAGCCACGCGAATTGAACAGATGCGCTTCCACACTGAAGCACTGAAGGCATCAGGGCTGAGGAGCCATGTCCATCCCATGCTTCAAGAAGTGGAGGTATGTGCGTTTTTTACCAGTCGGTTGTAGACTAAATCCATTACCACAGTCTGGCTTTATTTATTTATTTTGGAAATGGAGGCGTACCCCTGGCCTCTGCATCATAATGATGCATGCAGCCATCTTATTAAAATAGTCTGGCTTTATGCATCCTCGAGTTCTAACTAACTCTTAATATCGCGTTGGCATAGAGGTAAAGTGTAATTGGTATCATATTCATATTAATATATCCCTATTATCAAAATAATTGCACAAAGCTTACAGCGAGATTGATTGTATATGCAGGGTTACTTTGCGAAATGGGGAGAGGAGGGCATAGTTGATTTAAAGCTTGAGTTCGAGCAGTTACTCATGTTGATCTCGAGCTGGTGTCTACTCGGAAAAGAGGTTCGGGAGAACATGTTTGATGAGGTCCATGCACTTTTTCATGAGATCGAAAGCAGTATGACCTTGATCAGCTTCTTGTTCCCATATCTCCCTACTACAGTAAACCGGCGGCGCGATAGGGCGCGGATCAAGCTAACACAAATACTCTCTGACGTGGTCGAGTCCCGTAAGAGCTCTGGTAGAGTTGAGCAAGACACACTACAAAAGCTAATCGACTCCGAGTACAAAGATGGCAACCCTACAACGGTAGCAGAGTTAGTCGGGCTTATCATGTCATTGATATTTGCTGGGAAACGCACAAGCTCTCTCGCTAGCACTTGGACCGCATCTTGTCTACTCAGCCATCCGGTCTTCTTGAGAGCTGCCATTGAGGAGCAACAACGAGTCACCAAGAAATACAAAGGTGGGCTAGATTACAATGCTTTTTCAGAGATGGATACGCTGCATAGCTGCATCAAGGAAGCCCTAAGGATGCACCCTCCAGCAGCAATGTTGGTTCGCAGGACACATAAGCCCTTCACGGTGGAGACAAAGCAAGGCAAACAATATGAGATCCCTCAAAACCACATCGTGGCAACTCCTACAATAGTCAACAATAACATCCCTTATATATACAGGGACCCTCACGTGTATGATCCATATCGTTTCGGTCTCGAAAGAAGAGAGGACAAAGTAGGTGGCAAGTTCTCGTACACTTCATTTAGCGGTGGAAGGCACATTTGCGTTGGGGAGGCCTATGCTTACATGCAACTTAAAGTGATATGGAGCCATTTGTTGAGGAACTTTGAGCTCGAATTGATCTCTCCTTTCCCCAAGACAGACTGGAGCAAGATCTTGCCAGAGCCACAAGGAAAGCTATTCATTAGATATAAGAGAAAATAATGGTGTTTTGCATTTGGTTACTTAGTTGACCTACTTGTGTACTTGCAACATATATGTATAGCACGTGTGTTTTCTGTTGTGAAATTACTATGCATACTAGATTGTGCCCATCAAGAAATAAAAATATTATAGATGAACTACAATGCGTTAGATTCTTTGTTGTGGAACCTGCCCACCCGAGTTCAAGTCCTCGACTTGGTATGAATATTTACATTTTCCTGATTTAGCCAGCCAGTTCCTCTTGCTTACCTAAAAGAAGGTGGGCCCACCAGAATTGTTGCCCTGGTCTAGCCAGCCATTTCCTCTCGCTTGCCTAAAAAACAGTTCCTCCCGCCGCCGTTGAGCCAGCTCACCGTGCCGCCGCCGTCTTCGTTGATCAGGTGCTCCCCCTCGCCCCAGACTACCAGTAGGTCAGTGTGACATTCCTCCAGCTTGTTTCCTTCTAGCAATGGAGGTCAGAGGTTGAAACCCTAGCATTTTTTTCAACTGTAAATAAATCCCTACTATAATACTATTTTGCAAATCAAAAGAATGAATTTTGATTTTGCCATGATTCGACGATATTTGTTGCCCTATGATCTTCCAAGCCTGCACATGTATGTGTATAAAATATTACTACTACATAATTAGTAAGTCAATTACATGTAACAGCTCTCGGGTGCGTCTACACCCTCATGAACAGTAAATTCGTAAAAGATTTAAAAAAATTAAAAAAATCTGAAACTTTCAGGGATCAAAGATGATCACAGATTTGATGTTCCTGCAAAGTTTCAGCTACAAATAGCATTCGCAGAGCCCTTTTGTTTCCTTAATTAGAACAGAAAGATAACGATACTAACAATAAATCTTAACAAGAGCTTGATGCCCTTTTGGCAATTTCTTGCGTGAAACACCAGACTCGACCCTGAGAGTCTAGTTTTAGGGAAGCAGCAGCTAGACTTAACGGTTCGGTGAAGCAGTGCTGGGAATGCGATCAATACACAGATCCAGATCTATTCACGGGTCTTGATGCAGCTAGACTTAACGCATATATAGTTTTGTTCCACATTGATAGCTTGGAGGTTTGACTAATACCTAGTTGCTGCAAGTGTGTCAGTTTCTTGCATATACTTAAAAAGTGCAGCTGTGCAGCTGGTACTTAAAACTGTAGCGTTTTTTTTTAATGTTTGCCGAGGCAAGGGCAGGAGGTGCCATTCCATATACTCCCTCTGTTCACTTTTGTAAGTCCTTTAGGACAGCTGAAATTAAACTATTTTAGGTGCTGTCTTAAATGTCTAAAAGGTCTTACAAAAGTGAACAGAGGGAGTAAGAAGAATGGAATTGCCCGGTTAATTAGAGGAAAACCGGGCAAAAACCAAAATACTGACACTAAAGTAGAAAAAAAAAGAACTAGAGGTTGGGGGTAGGGTTTAACGCAAATATCATGGAACATCGTCTGAGCCAGACACGAGAACGTCGAGGCCCAAAACCGCGAGATGCAGC